TGGTCCGGCTGAGTCTGCCGTGTGGATGAAGTCATGAAGTTTGATGTGTTTCTGTTAGGAGATCATCTCTGCGATGTGGACCATGTAGAACATCTGCTAAACATAAACACACGTCTGCTGCTGAAACGTGTGTATGATGCAGTGGTGGGTTCTCCAGAGATTAAGCGTAACATTCTGGAAGCAAAGTTTGACCCCTCACACAGCGGGGGGCTATATAACTGACTAAATATTCACCGCCCACATAAACACACCAGCATCGGTCAGCTGCTGTTCAGCTGTTGAAGGTGTTTCTACAGTCAGAAAATAATAAATAAATAAATAAATAAATAAATAAATAAATAAAATTCTGCTCAACATTTCTGCCCAATTTCAGAAACATTACTGCTCGACAAGCGAGATGAAGCAGCTGATATTTGCTAATTTTAGTTAATCATTAACGTTAGCTGGCTAGGCTAATCGATTCTGGCTCTGCTGTCAGGGGCGACTCTCCACTGCAATGATCGGAGGTGTTCAGGAGGTGTTCAGAGTGCATTGTGTGAATGAAGCTGCAGTTCTGAGCAGAAGAAGAAGAAGCTGCTTTATATCGTCCCAAACAGCAGCGTCAGTTAGCAGCTTTAAACAGCAGCACAGAACAAAGATTTTTACTTTGAAATTTCCTCTCATTTCGTCTGACAGTTTACTGATCTTTTCATTATTATTTTATTTTTCTTATTTTAATAATTTATTTTCTTTTTTTCATATTTATTTATACATCCATCCATCATCTAAACCGCTTATCCTTCTGGGTCGCGGTGGGGTGCTGGAGCCTATCCCAGCTGTCATTGGGCAGAAGGCAGGATACAGCCTGGACAGGTCGCCAGTCCATCGCAGGGCAGACAGACAGACATACACAGTCACACACTCACTCACACTTAGGGGCAATTTAGCATGTCCAATCAGCCTGACTGCATGTCTTTGGACTGTGGGAGGAAACCGGAGTACCCGGAGGAAACCCACGCAGACACGGGGAGAACAGGCAAACTCCACACAGAAATGACCCTGGTCACCCGGCCGGGAATCGAACCCAGGCTCATCCTCTTCTCGAATTTTTTTCACTCCTTCCTGTGCTTTGTTTATTATTATTATTATAGCTATTATTTTTAGGTGTGAGTAAGGCTGAACTGGAAGACTAGTGATAAAAAAAATCCTCCATTTTGCTGCAGTTAGCATACTAGCTAACTCACTAAATCACTAACCATAAACAGTAAAAACACAAAGTGAACATAATCATATCTGATTATTAAATACTGCAGCACAGCACACAGTGATCTGCAGTAATAAAGCGTATGTATCTGGCAAGGTTAGTGACGGTGGGGTGACTGGGGTGTGCAGCAGTGTTAGGCCAAGCAGCTAACCTAGCAGTTAGCAAGCTGGCTAACTAGCCTACTATAAACAATAAAATCACAGAAGTAAAGATGGTTCTACCATCTAATACCAAGATCATCAGCCTCTCCTCCATGAGATCATCACAGCAAGCGTGGAAAAAATGTTCAAAGGATCATGTGAAATTTGCATTTTCTCTATTTTGGGTCTTCAGTGATGCTGAAGCTCCGCCCCTTTAGAGGTCAACTCAATCAAAACTGCAGTGCTATCGGTCGAAGAGGTGAATTTGCATGTTGATATTAATCAAAGTTGAACTTGGTGTGATGGAACTGCAGCGGAGCGACTCGTTATGGGCGGCAAGTTCAGCACCACATCACACTTCACACTGAATGTACAGACTGATGAAACCAGCACTTACTGCACTTTTATTGGACGAGACACCCTGTTTGACTGAGGCAGAATGTGCACAGTGGGACATAACATGGCAGAAAAATGAACATGTGCACCTGCAGTAACAGCTGGGGTGTTCTATTTAGAGCCATTTGCAACTGAAAATGTTCTTTGCATGGTGAAATGGTTCTTCAGATTGATGGAGAACGTGTTATATGTGGTTATATATTTAACTTTTTTGAAAATGGTTCTGTGTAGCACCAAAGGTGTTCTGCTATTGCTACAATGTCAAGCTTGTAAGAATAGCAGAACTCTTCTTGTTGCTATATAGAACCATATACAATACATTCTCCATCAACCTTTAGAACCATTTCACCATGCAAAGAACATTTTCAGCATGCAAATGGTTCTATATAGAACTCAGTTCTAGTTAGAACCATTCTCTTTAGTAAAGAACCCTTGAAGATCCATTTTTAAGAGTGTAACTGTACAGTTACATACATGTTCTACTATAACTGTAAGTGTTTTATTATGTAATTCAAATTGTGGGTGTAAATAAAGAGCTGAAATATGTTTGTATATCAGTGTGCCAGTTTAGCCCACACTGTAAGGCTCCTTTGCAGGGCAGAACGTCTATCTGCGGTTTTCAAACAGGTTCTCTGACATTCTGCACATGCACACCCTGCAGCTTCCTGCCCAGAAACAATAGAGATTAATGTATGGGGAAGTGCAGTGGGTACATCAGTGATCCACACCGTAACGTTCAACTCTGAAAAGTTAGAACCACAAAGTTCAACAAGCTTCTAATTATGTTAATGCAATAAACTCTGAATTTTAGAACCATAATTTTAAAATTAAAATTATTTTTAAAAAAAAAAGTTTTGTAAGTTGAAACATGGAATCATTGAAACGTTCCGTACATCGTAAAAAAGTTTTTTATCTAAAAATAGAGACTGTTTGAATTTTGAGTTCATCGAACTTAAGCAGTTAACAAATTCATAACACTAATTATTGTTCTATTAACTTAATTTTATAATTTTATTAATTCAAATACCTTGAAATTTTGAGTTCACCAGATTCACCAGTTTTCTAGTGAAAAAGGTGTATAAATCTTGTATTTATCATTTTGATACTGTTTATAACTTGTATTTTAAATTTGTATTTTTATTGAAGTCTTTCAGAAAAAAAAAAACATATAACAATATAAGTTATTAATATTAATATACGTTTTTAAAGCGTGATTAAAAACCTGCTGGTATTTTGTTTTGTCTTTTTGTCCAAAAACGCTGCTGAGATGTTTGTTGTCTCTGATCTGCTTCATCATCAGTAAATGAACTGAAGCAGCTTCGCTATGAAACACTGCAGTGAATCTGCTGATGACCCACTTGTTACTGTCAGGTTGCTCTGCTGGCTGGCAGCAGTTTCCAGGTTACAGGTGAACAAGGTGGAGTGATCATTAAAGAGATCCTCTCAGCCTATCAGATTGCGAGATCAGGACTGACTGACTGCACTGTTTCTGTTTGAACAGGATTTTCACACCTGAACTCTCTGAATGAATTTCCTGGTTTCGCGTCTCAGATCTGAAGACGTTTGCATGATTGAACTGGCAGCTTCTGCACATTTGATCTCATTTACATTTAAATTTGCATAAAATGTGACAGACACTCACAGACTGAACCGCAGCTGAACAGCAAACGCTCAGACACTTACTGTTACAGCAGAGTTAGTACAGTATGAGTTATTACACTGTGAGTTAATAGTAATAGAGTATGAGTTAGTGCAGTGTGAGTTATTACACTGTGAGTTAATAGTAATAGAGTATGAGTTAGTGCAGTGTGAGTTAATAGTTATAGAGTATGAGTTAGTGCAGTGTGAGTTAATAGTAATAGAGTGTGAGTTAGTGCAGTGTGAGTTAATAGTAATAGAGTATGAGTTAGTGCAGTGTGAGTTAGTGCAGTGTGAGTTAGTGCAGTGTGAGTTAGTACAGTCTGAATTAATACAGTCTGAGTTATCAGTTTTTTACAGTGGTGTAATCTGTAAATCCAGAAGTCGCTTCCGATTCAGGTCCGTTATCTGCGTTATCCGCATTTCTCACACTGATATCAGAGGAATCTTATCTCACTCTACCTTTATTACTCTCTCTCACTGCGGCAGAAACTGAAGCTGTTTTGCAGCTGAGTGTACAGAGAGAATGGAATGAGTAAACCACACACACACACACACACACACACACACACACACACTGACCTTGAGTAACCTTCACCTGACTGAACTTGTCCACTCAGTAGAGCTACTATAGTTTAATTGGAGTAATAATTTAATGGATTATGCCGCAGCTACCGTTAATAAATAATAACTAGAACAGTAACAGGACGTTAATATTGTGGATATTTCTCACTCTGAAATAAAGCCGAGTGTGTGAAGCTCCTAAATTTCAGGGTGCGATGTTTGTTTTAGGAAGTAACGACGATGGCTGATTTAATCCTCCGGCATTTGACAGGTATTTAAAAAACAGACAAAAAGACGCCAGAGGCAGAAATCTGTCACAGCCTGTTTATGAATCAACGCGCAGGAATTACATTCCCAGCATGCACTGCTTTGTCATCTGCGGGTCTGGAAGAGTAAGTGTTTCTTGGTTTTATTGAAAAGAGCTACAAAAGAATTATTACAACAGAGAAAATGGGGCTCCTAACAACCACCTGGAAGAGCTGGTCGACCCCAAAACTGCCCCCATCAGATAAACAGCACTTAAAGCTTTCATCTCTGAGAGAGAGGAGAAAATCAAGCTGATCAGATCTGAAAACATCCACAGGTGTTTCTGTCCATCCTTCCACTGTGAGAAGACGACTCAGCGCTGTGGGTCTGAAAGGATGTGTAGCTGATCAAGAAGAACCTCACTGAGAAAAGGAGACGGACACATCAAACAAAGAAGCTGAACGATGGACTGACCACCCCAGAGTCCAGACCACCCCAGAGTCCAGACCTCAACACCACTGAATGAGTTTCTGAGAGAGTTTATCAACAAACTTTAAGCTGGCATGAAAAAGCTGTTCGCTATGGAATCCCAGGTGGTTGCTAAGGTGTTACGAGGTCATTGCTATGGAAACAAAAATAACAGTTGCTAAGACGTTGCTATATTTTATAATTAGTTGTTTTGAACAATTCTGGATATGCAGTTGCTCAGTTAACCTGTTTCTGAAATTTACACTAAAACCCAAAGACAAATTTACAGAATAAAAGTCAGTCACTTATTACAAACATACCAATTTATTTTTAAATACATTATATACAAAACACGGAACACAGAACATAGAACATGTACAAGAGTTTGAGTTTGTTCTGTAACACGGAACGACTGTTACTTCATTCTCCCGCTGGTTTAATACTGCAGAGTCATTAAAATGGCTTTTAAAGTCTGTTTGACCTCAGACACATTCACATGTAAAACCCGCGAAACAGTAAACAGCAGTTCTCCGAGGAGAACGAACGTACCGGTACACCGTGTGCATCGGGTTGATAAATAAAGTTCGGTTTTACAGTGCTTTCTCTTCGTTATAAATAAAAGACAAAATAGTTAAATAATCCCCCCCAAAACAAAACCAAAACAAACAACCAAAAAACAAAAAACAAAAACAAACAAAAATCAGTACTGCTGAAAACTTAAAATGTACAGGCTTAAAAAAAAAACAAAAAAACACCAAAAACAAAACAAACAAACAAATAAACCTGTACACATTAGTAGCAAATGTGTGGAGCTCAAAAAGATTCAAACTCCGAGTAGCCTCAGAGTGACCTCTTCTGTCCGTACCGCCCTCTAGTGAATGACTGCTGGTCACCTCGCAGCCCTCCAGTTAGGAGTCAAACCCACCAGAAAGTGCTTGGGCTGTGAAGCCCTGTCTACTCAGACGCTCCGACACCAACACCTCACATTAGGATCCTGTAAAAAGAAGAATTAAATTAATACAACAACAACAACAACAACAACAACAACAACACTTCAGAATAGCTGCCACTGTTTTTCGCTGTCAGAGATTCTTTAACACCTGTTTGGCACCTTAAATGGTTACATTCTGGCGTCTGAACCTGCGTTCACTCAAATCACTGGCCACTCATCACCTGTGGATGTTTCTCCAGCTGACTGTTGGTTGCCATGGTTTCACTGACACAAATCAGATGCATTCTCACTAATAAAAATCCTCGTCTATAAACGTGAATTTCTGCGCTGGGCGTCACCATCAGTGTGTTAAAACAGTGTCCAGCCTTTGAACGATCGCCGCCGTCTGTTTATTATTTAGGAACCAAAATAGGTGTGAACCGTTTCACAGGGGCTGAGATGAAGCAAGTACCACCCTCCTCAATGCTCAATTCCTATTGGTAGTAAGATTAACTGAATTTGCATGAACTTAAACTTTGCTCAAATTTGTCGTGTCAATGACTCCGCCCACTTTGTGTCGCCAACTTTCATGCCGCCTCCCGTCACCAGAAATCCGCAGCTCTCATTGTAAACGAATGAATTACGGCTGCTTTGTCGAGTCACATGGCTGCTGGTGTGAAAGCCTGAATGTAACTGATTCACCATTTAAGGTGGAACGGAAAAAGAAGTGCTGAACAGGAAACAAACTTCAACAGATTTGAGAAGAGCGTGATTTAGCCAGGCAGTTAGCACAGCGCTAAGCATTATCTTCTATTACTTGCTAGCTACATTAGCCTCGCAGTTCCAGCTCTAAACCTAAAGACACCAAACATGTCTTGGTGTAAGAAAATAAAATGGAGTAATTTTTGATTTTTAAGTGAACAGCCGGAGCTCAACTGTCTAGACTAACTAGCTTAGCTGCCTAATGTGCTGTTGAATTCAGCTGCAGCAGTGAACGCTCACCTTTTCTTAGGCTTCACTTCCCAGCCGTCGCGGCATTTGACGAAGGTAACTTCCTTTCCGGGTGTGATCTCGGTTAAAGACGGGTCTTGAGCACAAAAAGTGAACCTGAAGAGAAGAACGTTCGCGTGAACAACAGCGCAAAGTCAAAGCTACTGACGCTCAACGCAGTGCTAGACATGTTAGCAAACTCGCTGCTCATCGACTCACTTCTTCTGCGTTTCTCCACATTTGACCCGGATCCTCCGAACCTCCAGGGTTTTTTTGGTGGGTTTGCTGGACCAGGACCACAGTGATTTAATGTGCTTCCACGCTGCGGACAGAGACTCGGTGGGGCCTTCCCAGCTCAGCGTGATCTTCAGAAGATCTCCGATGTCCTCCTCCGTGAACACCAGGAACGTGTTTGTGAAGTTCAGGCCAACTCCGCCTTGGCTGCAGGAAAGAGAAACCATTAGAAAACTTAGCATAATAATAATAATAATAATAATAACAATAATAATAATAATAATAATGCATTAATATGCAGCTCAAAGTGCTTCATTGTATATATTAAATAAGCTTGTAAATAAAACTGTACAGCAAAAAAACAGTATAGAACTAAGAAGGTAGAAGATTTGAGGTCAACGCCAAGAAAAATCAACTAAAGATCAGACGTACATGTTTACGCTCAGCTCGTCGGTGTCGTTATAGGATCCGTACAGTTTGATGTAAAACGTGGGGTCGGCGTCATCCGCATTTTTTCTGTTGAAAACGTGCATCTTCATCTGATAGTGATAACCTGCCAGAAAAAAAATGCTGGTTAATATTAATACAGCTCAGTTTATTTATGACACATTTCTTACACAAAGTTATTTTAAAACCCTTTACAATAAAAAGACAGCATTAAAACTGTAGAAGGGAAATAAGAAATTATGTTCTACACAGAAGCGCTCAAGTGTCAAAGGGCATTTCATTGTTACTGTGATTAAATTATGACCATTTTTATTTCTGGTGTTTTTACAGTATTTATTAAATGTGACACTGCTGGGTTTTCAGTCTGTTTCCACTGAAATAGTTTATATTTGTTGCATTTTGTATTGGAAATATTGATTTATATTAAAATATACTGATTGGCCTTTATAACATTTACAAAAGGCAAAACAGAACAGATTAAATAGGACAGCGGTGAAAAATTTAATTTGTGATCTTCTGGTTGAAGCTTTAGGAAGCGTAAAAGCCAAATCTGATCTGAGAGGACTGTTATGTTCATAATCTGCCAGTAGATCAGGTTCCTTGTGATTTACAAAAAAGCAGCAGGATTAAGTTTAAAACTTACATGTTTTTACAAATTACACTTTTTAATCATTTGGGTTCTGAGCATATTAGTCGTTGCAGTTTTGCTCAGTCTTGCTTGATAAGTAATTCAGCTGCACCGTTGTCATCGTTTTCTGATTCTCCCCTTCATGATGCGCTGTACATTTTCAATAGGAGACAGATCTGGACTGCAGGCAGGTCAGTCAAGCACAGGCACTCTGTCTATAAAGCCACGGTGAATTGCAGAATGAGGCCTGTTGTTGTCCTGCTGACAACATCAGGAAAAAAGGTCATCTGGAAAAGGCCTTGGTGCCTCTCTAAAATCTCAGTATATGCCTCTGCATCAATAGTACCTTTGCACATTAGCAGGTCACCCATGCCGTGGGCACTGAGCCCCCCCAACACCATGACAGATGGTGCCTTTCATCTCTGGCATGGAGAACTCAATGTGCATTTTCCCCAAAACAAGCTGAAACGTGGACTCATCTGTCCACAGCACACATTTCCACCTTTAGACCATCTGAGATGAGCTCAGGCCCAGAGTACTCGGCGGTGTTTCACCATAGAACTGATGTATGGCTTTTTCCTTGGATAATAGTTTTAAGTTGCAGTTCCTGATGTGGCGTCAGACGGTGTTAAGTGACAGCAGTTTTCCAAAGTCCTCCCATGTGGCAATATTTAACACAGTAGCATGATGGTTTCTCATGCGATGCCGTTTGAGATCTCCAAGGTCACACATTCAGCAGTGGTTTCTGGTTTTGCCCCCGACCTAAACTCTTTGCAACCTTGCACTGAGAAATGTTTCCCTTTGAACTGACAATTCTTTCACGAAGTGTGGCACAAAGTGGTGAGCTACGATCTTTGCTTGCAGAAACTGAGACTGTGGTGGGTACTTTTATACCCAATCATGATCCCCTCACCCGTTACCAATTCACCTGCTTATTGTGGAACATTCCAAAACTTGAATATTCTATAAATGTTTCACTCTTATTTTGCCCGTCCCATTTTGTTCGATTGTGTTGCAGCAAATTCAAAGTTTTCATATTTACAAAAAGTCATTTCATTGTAGTTTTGTCAAAATGTCTCAACTGTTCTGGAAATGTGTTCTGTTGTAGCTCACCAGCAAACGGTGTGTCTGCGCGGGTTTTCAGGTACATCTTGCTGTTCCTCCTCTTCCTCATCTTCTTGGCGTTGTAGCCGATGTTGTTGCAGCGGTTCTTCCTGCAGCTCAGGCAGATCCCCTTATTGAAGCGGTCGGGTCCAGTGCACTGATAGGCGAAGCTAATGTGATCTTTATTCATCAGAGAGTCCACAAACAGGTGCACCGCCCGCTCGTGCTCGCACTTCATCACGTCCATGAAGTCTGCAGAGAGGAACAGACGGAGAGTCAGCGTGTTAAATCTGCAGGAACGTTACAGATTTATGTCTGTTGGAACAATCAAGGGGCTCCTGAAGACTGAACATCGTTTAGCGATAGTTTAGCCTGTTAGCTGTGGCTAGAAATATGGTGAAAATGTCAAAAAGGTGCTTCTGTTTAATATTTTGGTTTATCGCCAGGTTGGGAGAAGTTATTTAAGATGTCATGCATACAGATCACCTAAATTAACACTTCCTCTGTGATCTTCACTGCTGTTATACGAAGCTCCGCCCTTCAGAGCTCAACACTGCCAAAGCAACGGCTCTGTAGGCTAAAACTAATATCTCTACCCAAAGTACAGTGCAGGAAAACACTTTAAACTGATAGAAATAACTTGGCTAACTATGTTTCTATGGCCAGAAATGGGGCAAAGGTTTAGAATCATGATACTTCAAAAGCAGTAAAGCGGACCATGATGCAAATATACCTCAAAAAAACTCTGTCTCACCTTCACATAGCTTTGCAACATTGTTTCCATTTAAACATATGCAGCCAGATTAATGGCGACAAAGCTGGTAGCTAACAGCCCATTCTGCTAAAAAAGGTTCAACAAACAGCACAAGGAGCTGCACAGACTCATCTTGCATGTCTCCGATGTGAAAGACAGCATTAGCGCTAAGGGTTACGTGCGTTTTGTCGCCCCCTCTGGTGGAAAAGTAAACTGTCCCATGCTGAATGTGTAAAGTGTACTCACTGCCCGCGGCAGCGGTGGACAGAACGTCTCCCAAAGCGCAGCCCGGCTGGACGTCTCCTCCGTTGGGGTAGATGTCGATGTCTCCGATCGGCTGCTGGATCCCAATACTGACCCCTAGAGCCTCACGGGTGTACGTGTGCAGAACGTCAACAAACTCCGCATCGTCCGGAGAGAGGCGCTTATGAGCCTCCGCCCCCTCAAACATCGGCCCGGCTGGGTCTAAACCTGTCCAATCAGAATAAAGGATTTTATTCTCTGGATCTGAACGTAACTGCTGCACAATTTAAGGTGGAACGGAAAATTCTAATAAGAAGCTGCAATTTTAAACAGGCATTAAACACTTACAGTTCATTAAATTCAAACTCGTACCTGTAATCCGTCCAATGGTTCCATGTACAAAATTGCCAGCATAGCCGGCTACATGAGCTCCGAGGCTGTAGCCAATCAGGTGCACCCGCTGCAGAGGCAGCCGCTGCTCATCCTGTCAGAAAACATACATGTTTAAATACAACATAAACAGAGAACATAGACTTTAACCTGCTCATAAACTCCAGAGGGCCTGAAATTAGCATTTAATATGTCATCTGTGTTATTTAACAGCCGGTACTCAGCCTCATTGGTTCAGCAGGCTCAGCAGTGTTCCCTTCACTACAATACCCAGCATGCTTTACGCTAAATCATATAACCATTGAAATTCCCTGTGGTGTCACCCAATTGTGACAGCTAGCCTGGTCGCTGAGCTGGAGGCTAATAAATAGACAGCTTCCTAGCAGTAACATTAGCTACACATTTCAACACCACAAAGCAGCTGTAGTTTCTCAAAAGCTCCTCCCGCCTTCAAGATACATCATCAGAAGGCAGTTTTCCTAATCTTTAAACTGTAAAAAGAGCCGTGCGCTGAAGTTCCTGATGTTTATTAATGTGCAGCACATTGAACTCCTTTGTGTTTGAAATGTGCTACATAAATAAACCTGTCCTGCTTTTTCAGGCTTGATTTAGGCCGTTTTATTTGTAGTTAAACTGTATTTAATTTTATTTTTCATTGATTAAACTGTGCTTTTGTGTCCAGGTGGATTAAAGCTCAGCTGCTCTTTAACACACACAGAATCTGACCTAAAGGAAGCGTGAATATTAATCACTGCAGTCATGAATATTGATGAGTGCAGTGGAGTTACTGTGCTCTAAACACAATAACAGGCTGTTGATACTGTGAGATAAATGACTGCAGTGAGAACAGCTGCTGATCTGCAGGAGAATAAAGGAGAATACATTACAAACACAAAGAGCCAACACAGCCCACCAGACCAGCTTTAAAATAAAGAAAGAAAAACAGCTGCACAGATTGTCCCGAGAACAACGCGACCCATTTAATCAGATTTAATGCTCTGGTGGGCAACAGAAACTTGTAGCGCAAGGGGTCTTAAAATTAGATCTGATGTAGGATCTGCTGCTGTCATTAAGCTTATAAATAAGAAAGAAATCTGATCTGCATCAGCGATGATTCTCTGACACGAACATGAGATCTGGTCTTTCAGGTTATGAGTCAGTTTGGCTCCACCCACTTTTTATTAGCAGCGAGCTGTTAGTAGAGTTTGGCCTTGATTTTGGGCCATAAACCTCAAAAATTAGTCCCAAAAACAAGGAAAAACCCATCTCTAATTTAAATGACCATTTCTGCTAGCACCTCTATGGGATTTCCAATAGTATAACAGTAATAATAACACTACAGTTTTATTACTAATAGTACAGATTTTCTAATAATATAAACCTGTATAGACAAAACTAACAGAGTTTAAATACAACAAGTACAAAGATTCTGTTAAATGAAGATGAAGTAAAGGTTGGTCATTAGACCTTCTCTGAAGATCTAGAAGATTCTGATGGTTCCTCACTGTTGTTTAAACATCCTGAATAAGAGCATCTGATCAGGTGATAGGTGTAGATGTCAGTGTAAACAGTTTTAGTACCTGTAGCCAGTCCAGCAGGGCGGCGATGCTGACCCCGACGTGGCGCGTGTGGTTAACAGCGTCGGGGTAAAGCTGGTGGGCCAAACTGAGCCAGTCCACCACGATCACATTCGCCTCCGGCTCCCTCTGCTTCACCGCCGCCACCAGCTTATACAGCCAACTCTCAAACATACCCCCAATCTAGAGCGAGACAGAGAGCGAGACAGAGAGCGAGACAGAGAGCGAGACAGAGATGGTTTGTTACCAAGTTAAATCTCTGCTGTGCTGGAATAAAGTGAGAAATTCCAGAAGGTTCCTGATGTTTAAGAGCAAAGTTCTGATGCTCTAAAGAGAAATGTAGGACGGAGACGTTAAAGAGAGAGAACCTTTCATCCTGCGACACCTGCACTCGCGACACTGTGACCTCACAAACAAACAGAACCTCAAACTCCCTCACAGTTTCCACTAAAGCTGAATCACATCACGACTTTCTGAGATACGCATCTCATTCAGCCTTTCAGAGTTTGGAACAGACAAAACACACAAAACAGCCACAGAAACTCAAACAGCGCAGATTTTCACAAAACGACCTGTGAGAAGAAACCGGGCGGAAAACTGAACGAACGGTAAAATTTACATTTGCATGATGACATCAGAAGAGCCCCGCCCACCACTGTCAGCAGATCTGCACTTTAAAGAACTCTCAGCGTCAGACAGATGTTTAGATGTTTCCGGCTGTTGTGATGAGTTCAGTCAGAGTTTTTGGTCACTGCACTTTAATTTCTTTAGTTACAGATGCAGATAATAATGTTATTGTCCAAATAATCCGAATTTTGAATCTATCACAATAACATCTCTCCGTATCGCCCAGCCCTGATTTCTGATCCGCCCGGACAGACGCTGAACGCTCCTTACCGTCCAGCCGTGGATGATGAGGATGGTCTTGGCGGTGGAGTTGAAGCCGCACTCCTGCAGACACTCGCTCTGACCGGGCCGCAGGAAGCAGCCCTCCTCGTCCAGATCCACTGACCTACGCAGGTTATACTTTATCTGCTCATGGAGCTGATTTGGAGCCACAGTCACACTCTCCTCACCTTCACCTGCAAACAAACATCAAACAAACATCTAAACATCCTTTATTTCCACATTTCTACATGATTGTCCAGCCTCTCCTTATCCCTCACAGTTAAACTGCTGTAAATTACTGTGAGTAAATATGCCACACATGTATTTAAGAACCTTTAGAGCAAACAAAGCTGTATTCTCACTGATTTCTTTATTTGGTGGAGGACGCTGACCCTCACTACCTCACTGACGAGGTTAGGGTTTTAGAGAGCCACGCTTGGTGGGGTTTTTTTTTTAATCTAGAACGTTCCTGAGCTGTTAGAACTGTGAGCGTTCAGAGACGTGGGGCTGAAAGAACAATAAAAGCTGCCGTATTTCATCTGGACACAAGATGGAGCGACTCATATCCGCAGACTCGCTTCTCAGCACCGCATGATGGAACGTTTTCCACTGAGGCTCTCCTAAGACCAGAACTCTCAGTTAGACAGTTCTTAAAGGAGAACTCCACCAAATATTAAAAACTCCTCCATAATTAACTGGTTAAGATGTAAACAGAGTCATTCAGAGAGGTTCTGCATTCTAGAGAAACTCAGAGTCAGAACTGTTCACAGTGGTGGTGATAGGAACCAGATGTCCACCTCTAAAAGCTCCCTCACAGAAAGTTCCTACATGAAATGGTTATGAATTCACTGCCTGATGACTGAGACACTGTTTTATGATAGTTTAGATAACTTAAACTCCATTCATGGTGGAGGGATACATGCAGGGTGCTGTGAGGCAAAATAGTCCCCAAAGAAAACTTATTATTTCAGATTTTCCACTATTTTCCATCATCAACGTTCCATATAAACTCAGAAGACTCGTGTAGGTTCACTGGTGGTTCTGGATAGTAAATAAAATGTCTATATTTGTGTTGTAGTCATGGCGACCCCTGGTTCCTATCACCACCACTGTAAAGACATCTGAACCATTTCATACCAAACCAGAAGAAATTCTGAAAAAATGGTGGTGTTCCCCTTTAAGCCCAGAGCCTGCCCAGTAGGAGGAGAATCGTATCAGACGTTACTCAACCTTGAGCTTAAATTATCCAGCTAAAGTGAGAAATCCAGCGGAGTTTGGAGGTTCACCTGCTCAAACACACCTGATTACACTCCTGCAGGTGGTGAGCAGGTGTGTCTGAGCTGGACTGAAGCTCCTCACCTCTGAGTGAAAAGTTCCATTGCACTGCCAAGAACTCCTGAAGTCAGTGTGTAAAAATATTTCAGCACGCATTTAACCTTTAGCAGAGCCGCTGGAGCCTAAAGCACTTTACACAGCAGAAAAACTCCCCTTCATACAGTTTAAACCTGGATTTCAGTCACTTTAATTCAGTTTAAACCTGGATTTCAGTCACTTTAATTCAGTTTAAACCTGGATTTCAGTCTCTTTAATTCAGTTTAAACCTGGATTTCAGTCACTTTAATTCAGTTTAAACCTGGATTTCTGTCACTTTAATTCAGTTTAAACCTGGATTTCAGTCACTTTAATTCAGTTTAAAGCTACTTTCATTCACATTCAGTCAGTTAAACCTTTAACTCTTTCACTACCAGCTCCCTTCCACCCATCACTTACAGCATCTCCGCTCCGCTGCAGGACACTTAGGCTTCATTCAGCTCTTTTACACTCAAACATCTCTAAAGATGATTAAAGTCAGTAAGAGTTACTCTACAGGTGTCTAGAACCCACAGGAGTATAGAACCCACAGAGGCTGGTTTCTCGTTTCGAGTTCTCCGCAGCCTCCGGCGCCAGAACGCAACTGCCGCATCGTTTAAGGCGGAACGGAGAATTCCAATAAAAAGGTTCTTGGTTTCTTGGTTCCTCACCTTCGTGAATCTCGTTGCTGAGCGCGCTCAGAGCCCACGGCGCGAGGAGGATCCACAGGAACACCGGCACATTCCTCACAAAGCTCACAGCCATCACACACAGCTCCACCGAGGACTGAGCGGGGGATCGGAACCACGTTCACAGCTTAACTCTTTAGAAGGTTCTGAAGTTCTCCTCTGCTGAGGTTCTCCGCTCCCTCTGCCAGGACGTGCTCGGTCTGATGAATGGAGCCGCTCAGCTTTAAGTTTTAAATAGTTCCACTCTCCGGGTCATCTGACCATCGGCAGATTTCTGCGAGCACATTCTCGGCCTCTGATTGGTCAAGCCCCCGGAGGTGGGCGGGGCTTCAGTGTGTGAATGAAAGGAGCCGGTTTAACCCTTAACCTGCAGGAAGATGGGGGAAGGGGGTGAGGAGGGGTGAGAAGGGGGGGGGGCTGCATGTTTGTTTACTTGTATACTTGGAGGACATCCAGAGTAAAAAGCCCCGCCCACTTCTTTCAAACAGGTACAGCGAGGAAAATCAGGAGAGCTTTAATGAAGCAGAGATAAGATAAAGTTTATTGATCTTATAGAGTTTTAATTGATCTACAGAAGCTCAAAGCTTGTTTGTGTATATATACAGTAATAACCTCTACAGTGTGGATTTAAATATTACAAAATATACACACAGACTAGAACTTAGAACCACTCTGGAAATTGTACAGATTTCGGGTACAAGAAATGAGTTGGTATAAACTGAGATGGAAGAAAATAAAAATTTATTAGAAATTCATTCTGGATATTATTTTTACTAGAAGTTCATTCTTGATATATGAATTTCATTAGAACTTCACTCTGAATATTATTTTTATTAGAACTTCACTCTGAATATTATTTTATTTTATTGTTTGTTTTAAAGTGTTTTCTTTTTGTGAAGTTTTTATTTTTCTAAATTCTGAGGCAGTAATATTAATCAGGTGGCGCTGTTTCAATAATAAACATGTTTACCATTTGAATACCTGTTATATTAACTGTTTCCACTCAGTCACACAGTAAAGCTGGTTATACAGAACTGTGAGAACGAGTCGGAACCTCTGACGGTCAGTTCCTCTTTCTGAGGACTGTAACCGTGGCTACTGTAAGGGCTCTCACTCCTTTTAGGATATTTTTCCGAGACACGTGACATTATTAACACGGAGAGCAGTTCACAGTGACTCATTTACACCAACTGTAAAATGCTAAAACATCCCACACTGACCCGCACTGACCCGCACTGACCCACGCTCTAAAATCACCCCTACAGGGTTCCCTGGACTGCAGTTCTAGTTCATCAGTAGTGAGCACTGAGTCGAGGTTTTAAACTCTAAAATGTCTTATTTATTGCGAAAAATCAAAGTATCTAAAAGGGTTCTTTGTAGCGGAGCCTCACTTCGTTCCCTAAAAAACCTTTCAGTTGATTTTTCCTTCAGAGAACCATTTTTGTATATGAGATGTGTGAGTGTGAAGAACATGAAGTTTAAATAAGTTCTGCATAATTTAAAGGTTTGAGGAAGAACCCTGAATTTGATACAGAACCTTTAAATTATCCACATACTGTCAGATATCTTTTATAAGCATTGTTCTTTTAGGGTTCCTCTATGGCATCACTTCAAAGAACCCATCATCACATCTTTTTTTTTAACAGTGTATGGCACTGTTCTTTAGCCATAGCTCCCTAAGGGTTCTCCAGGGAACCGAAAGCTGGTCTCCTATGGCCTCACTCCCTATGGGTTGTTCAGAGAACCAAAAGCCAGTCCTCTATGGCAGTGGTCACCAACTGGAGATGTTCCCTCCTACGGACTGTAGTTTGAAGCCGGACCTTCTCCAGATCATTAACTTCTCCAGATGTCCCTGATTGGCTGATCAGGTGCATTAGCATTAAGGGGTTAAGGGGTGGTCGGCATGTTAGATGCTGGTTGGAGCTAAACTCTGCAGATCTCCAGGAGGAGGGCTGGAGAACCCTGTTCCACACCATCACTGCTGTGGAGTCCCCTATGGCTGTTAGTGAAGACTTAACAGCTCCACGCAGTTTGAGGTGAGTGTGAGATGATTCAGGCCTGCAGTTAGCATGATGCTAGTTGGTGGCTTTAAGCTTCCATTACTTGTTAGCTACAATAGCCTCATTGCCTCAGTGCTAAAACCAAAAAAAAAACAAAAAAGTAAACTTCATACAGCCAACGGGTCCCAGTCAAGCGCAGGGGTGGGGGGTGGGGGGTTGGAGGGATTGGGGGCTGCTTTAAACGCTTCAGACTAAGTGACTAAACCCTGATTCAGTCTGGAGTAACTGTTCCACCGTCTATTGGCTCATAAGACATCAGCCCACACTCCGTATCTCAGGGTCAGGCTGACCTCACTGCAGATCCGCTCGAGCTTCATATCTTACAGTGCTAATCACAATCAGCAGAACCTTCAGAACACCAAAACATTCAGTGGCTCCGAGCCTCCAACACGTTTCCGGATCCTTCTGGAATTTTGGTTTCTTTGCCTGGAAATGAGTGGTTCCACCTCTGGACACAGACCTGAGCATTTTCATATGCTGAACTAGGACATTATGGGACCCAGTGCAGAAAATGCCCCCCCAAAAACGTTGTGATTGACCTCATGAAGTCCTGTGGTCACTCTGTAGGGGGCATTATGGCTATATTAGAAACCTCTGGGCTTGAGCCGTTTATATCTGTGGGAAATCAATGGGATTTCAATTATCACCGCAAACAGAGCTGGTTTAAGAAACACCAGAGGGCGCTGTGAGCGAGTCCTCAGCGAATGGAAGAGTGAACGGTTAAAAAGAGCTTCTGGCCATTTTTCCAGGATTTCTTTTAATGTTAGGAAGTAGACGGATGCAGTTCAGTAAAACAAACGGAACTGTAAATGTAATATTTCTACAGCAAACGGGTTTTTCGCTCTGCTTAACGCGTCTAACGTTAATGAGCGTCGCAGCTCCTGAAAGTCCTGGTAACTCAGAGGATCCAGAGACACTCGCGGGGAGGAGATGAGCGCAGAGCTGTTTATCTCAGGACGCGACTGCAGGTCAGACTGACGCACAGCTGTGTGTTTGTTTACTCGTGGTCTTAAAGTCGATGGTCTCCTCAGTCCGGCGACTCCTCTCACTAGCAGCTAACGCTAACGTCAACGTCTGCCTGTCTAACGTGAGAGAGATGAACGACCGTGTGATGCTGCAGGTTTGAAGGGTCGAGACAGACAGACAGACAGACGCTGCCCCATCTGTGAGGGATGATGAAGATGAAGCCGCTGAGGGATTCTGGGAGTTTAGATCTTTCTGTGAGTCATAGACGTGCAGCTCTGCCAGTTTTCATACGAGGGGCTTAGCAGATTTAGGGGGCACTGTGGACCCCCTGAACCGCATCCCCTACCAAAGTGGTCACACCACGGAACTCAGCTCATCCGGAAAAATCTGGGGAGTTTATTTTCAAACTTGATGATAATAAATATGTTGGTTTTGACTAATTGATTTAATTGTGAAATATTTTTGAGTAAATAAAAGAGTTTGCTTTCAGATTTTTACTCTGTTGTGTGAAAAACAAATAAAACATTTTTGTTTTAAAAAAATCTTTTTCTCTGTTTAATTTTTATCTCAGGTTTTTTTCATTTATTTCATGGTTTATAAAGTTTACAATCATTTTAAACTCTACACTCTTAAGATGGTCCTTTAAGGGTTCATCAGTAAAGACAGTGGTATTATGTAGAACTACGAACACTCAGAGAACCATTTGCATGCTTAAATGGTTCTCTGCTTGGTAAAATGGTTCTTCAAATTGATGGAGAATGTGTTGTATATGGTTCTAAACAGCACCAAAAAGGGTTCTGCTGTTCAATTGTGATGTTGAGCCTGTATATAATAAAAGAACCCTTATTGGTGCTATGCAGAACCAAATAGAGCACATTCTCCATTAATCTGAAGAACCATTTCACCATGCAGATGGTTCTATAACGAACTCCTGGTTCTCTGAGTGAATCAGTCAGTAATTGTGGGTAAATATTCCAGTGACAGATTCACGACTCAGAGAAATGAGCTGTAGCTTCTCTCAGGCTGTAAGCGAGCAGCAGAGCTGTGTTCAGTGTTGGTGTCGGAGGTGACGGTTCAGCTGGAGCTCCATTCACTCCCACTTTCATTCAGTCTCCGTCTTTTCATATTTAAATTAGGAAGATTATTCTTCCAAAACGATCAATTAAACAAAAGATCAACAGACGGAAAACTGAACAGACTCTGTTACACAAACACACTGTTATCACCACCAAACACTTCCTAAGCACTTATGTTCATAAAATGAATGAAAATAGCTCCATTTTCAAACTGTAAACAAAAAATGTAAACACAAATGCATGAAACAAACAAACAAACAAACAAATAAATAAATAGATAGATAGTCTAACTGTTATTGGTGCTGTGGTTAATATCAGTGTTAACAGCTCTGAGTCTGTTTCTGTTTAAGGTGGTTGGTGCTGTTGGAGGATTTAGTGGACGTGTTTGGGTTCTTTGTGTTTTCAGTAGAAGGTTCTTGGCAGAGAGAGAGAGACAGAGACAGAGAGAGAGACAGAGAAAGAGAGAGAGAGAGAGAGGATTCCAAAGCGTTCAGTCATGTTTGTGTGAGCTCCCAGACTTTTGTGTTGTTTTCTGTTTTGAAATGAGAGAAAAGTTGAAATAATCATAGAAAACACTACATAAGGATACACTAAGAACAAAACTACAAAAAACAAGACAGAAAAAGTCAATATCTGTGAGATATTAGAGGAGATCAGCTCAAAACTACAGGAGAGGATCACATCCAGACAGAGCCGCTGAATGTAGGAGTGCGATCAGCACAACTTCAACAACTCCAGCACTGTTCAAAACAACAGCAGCAGCTCTGTGAGTCACATTATTTTAGAGTGGAGGACAAAGAAAACATCTAATTTATTATTATTTAACATCTTACTAATATTTTAAGTGACTTTGACAATAAAAGCTAAAGGCTAAAGCTAAAGTGTCAGTTGACCGTTGACTTTTGAAAAGTCTCCCCAACATTCAGAGGCAGCTACAAGCAAATGAGCTCTCAGAATGAACCAATCAGAAGGAGCCTCGTTCATCCCCTACTGCCCTGAAGAGGGCGTGGCCTCACTCTGCAGTCCAGTGCAGTTCTGCACGATCACTTACCCTCCTGACCTAAAGAGTGACACCGCCAGGAAACAGTTCAAACACAAACTCCTGAAAGAGAAGCCAGAAACTCTGTTTGCA